CGGCCTGGGTGGGGCGGGAGAGCGGCTCGTTGTGGTGGCGGCGGGGCCCGAACGACGAGGAGCCTCCCCGCCCCATCCTTTGGCGCGGCCCAGCGGGGTCCGAAAGCCGCGAGGGAACAGGCGTCGAGGGCCCTGCGCTCTCCGGAGCGGCCGCCTTTGGCCCTGGGTTCAAGGGTGGCCCCAGCCAGGGCCGCTTTACGGTAGTCTAGCCCTGGCAGCTGGGTGAAGGCTGCAGCAGACCTTCAGGAGGCCAAGTGGCGGCAGGAACAGGAGCAGGAGGGGGGGCCTGGCCCTTGCCTTTCCCAGCACTCGCCTAAGCAGAGCTGGGGGGGGGCTGCCTGCCCAGGGTGGGAGGCTACAGCCCCATCCAGCAGGCATTGGATTGTGTGGCCGCCGGGGTCCCTTCCTGCTCCATGAATTGACGGCTGAAGGGCCAAAGAGTCAGGAAGGCAACATGAAGCTTCATCTGGAAAATATCAGGCTGCAGCCCACAAAGCCACTAGCGGAATGCCTAACAAGCAGATGAAGGGGCTAACAGGCTGCTTGCCCTTGTTGTTTAGTCGTTTAGTCGTGTCCGACTCTTCGTGACCCCATGGACCAGCGCATGCCAGGCCTTCCTGCCTTCCACTGCCTCCCGGAGTTGGGTCAGATTCACATTGGTGGCTTCGATGACACTGTCCAACCATCTCATCCTCGGTTGTCCCCTTCTCCTCTTGCCTTCACACTTTCCCAACATTAAGGTCTTTTCCAGGGAGTCTTCTTTTCTCATGAGATGGCCAAAGTCTTGAAGCCTCAGCTTCAGGATCTGTCCTTCCAATGAGCACTCGGGGTTGATTTCCTTCAGAATTGATAGGTTTGTTCTCTTTGCAGTCCAGGGGACTCTCAAGAGCCTCCTCCAGCACCACAATTCAAAGGCCGCTTGCCCTTACTGCATGCCAAAAATGGCATTGTGACATACTGGAATTTCCCGTGTATATATATTGACACAAGAAAAGCCGAAGGGAAAAAATGCTGTAGATCTATAAAAACAAACTGTGTTGCTTCAGTATGAGTGGTTTTGGATCAAAGTCTCTTTTAGGCATTAGTGCAAACATGGCCTACTTCTTATACATAACCAGGAGGGCAGCTGAAACTTAGGAAGTAAAAAATCATGAATATGGAAGACAGAAATCATAGACTACACAACTTTAATTTCAAGATTGAAGAAATTGAAATAGTTAAAGATTTTGAATACCTTGGTTCAATCACTGATCCAGAGGGAGGCTGCAGCCAAGAAATCAGAAGAAGTCTGTCCGAGGGTTCATTAGCTTGAGAAGGGTTTTTCCCCTTTACGTTCATGTCTAGCCTGGCAACATACGACTCTTGACCATGGATTGTACCAACAGGATTTATTATAGGTGCATCTAGGAAACGTTCAACTGTGACAGGAATACGCAACTTCTCTTCCTCAGTCAATGGTTAGCTTCTGGTTTCCGAAATGTGTTTGAAACATCCAACAGTTCAAAACTTCTCCAAGGAGTTCATTAATGTGGTATCTGGTGGAACCAACTAGAGATGGGGGTATGTATTCATTTACGAATATCCCACCACAAGTGCAGTTAACGAGGGTCTGCCCCCACCCCTTGGGGCCAGATTGTCCACTCACAATTGTGCCCATGCCACCGGCTCCACAATCCCTCCTGTCACTCTGGAGCTTGCAATCAGAGAGCCACTCTTCGATCTGGCAGAGAGGCTCATCATCCTGCCTTCTGCCAGGAGTGGCTAATCCATCATGAGCTCCAGAGTGATAGGAATGGCGCGCAGAACTAGCAGCAGCAGCGGAATGGTGAATGGACGGTCTGGCCCCAGGGGAGGTGGACCCTCATTATCTGCACCTGTGTGGGGAGGAATATTTGTATATGAATATGAATACCCCCGTCTCTAGAACCGACAGCAAGGGCACTCCATTCCCTCCAGATGCCCTTGGCATAGACCTGTTGAATCCTGCTTCCGAGTATTCCCAAGCATTGGGGTCTCGGGTGTTGTTTCTGAGGGCTGCTCCCCTTTACCCCTCCCTCTCCTTTCCTTACTCAGCTAGACCCTCCTCCCTGGTCTTCCTTGCCCAGTCTCGAGCCTCCTCCTGGCCCCAACAAGAAGCTCTGTGATCACTGCCTCTCTCTCAGCCTCTTCTCTGGGCACCATGAACTGCTCCCGTTTCTTTGTCCAGGGATCTTCTAACCCAATGGTCCTCAACCTTTCTGGCACCGGGGACTGGTTTAGCGTGCGTGTGGGGGGAGGGTGTCTGTGTGTGCGGGGAGGGCACGCCATGTGTCTGTTCATCCGTGCCAGGGTGGGGGTGGGAGATCTGTCTCCGTGGCCTGGTCCTGGGCCGTGGACTGGGGGTTGGGGACCCCTGTTCTCATCAGATCCATGCCCATCCCATGGGAAGGATCTTACTACATTTCCTCCGCTTTCACCAGACTTTTTCTTCCTCTCCATTCACTCCTCCTCCTCTTTTCTTTCCTACCTTTTCCAACAGACTCTCTGGCTCTGCCCTTTTCTGTCCTGTCATCTCTGGTATTCAGTGACTCATTCCCTGTTCTGGACCTGTCAGTTGTTTTACTAGACTCTTCAACTTATCTGTTCCACTACTTCCTCCACCATCGTCACCAGCGGTTTTCCTTTGTTGCTTGGCTCTTGCTCCTCCGTATAAATGGCTGTTTTCCTCTCAGTCTCAGGGATCTTGGGCTTTGCCTCACCACTTGCTCCATGGATGATGGATGGTGCTCTGGCAGTGACATTGTCTGCCCTGCCATCCTTTTCGCAGACTGAGACTTGAGAAGGGCAGCAATGAAGGATTTAGAAAAGATCATTAAGTGCAATGATCATTAGGTGGAGACCAAGATCAAGATAATCCACATTCTTGTATTCCTGACCAGCATGTAGAGGTGCAAAAGCTGGACGGTTAAGAAAGCTGACAGGAAAATAATTGATTTGTTTGAAATGTCTTCTGATGGCATTGCTCTCAGCTTCCATGACACACTGGTGCACATTTT